TTATGTCACCACAAACAGAGACTAAAGCAAGTGTTGGATTCAAAGCTGGTGTTAAAGAGTACAAATTGACTTATTATACTCCTGAGTACCAAACCAAGGATACTGATATATTGGCAGCATTCCGAGTAACTCCTCAACCTGGAGTTCCACCTGAAGAAGCAGGGGCCGCGGTAGCTGCCGAATCTTCTACTGGTACATGGACAACTGTATGGACCGATGGACTTACCAGTCTTGATCGTTACAAAGGGCGATGCTACCGCATCGAGCGTGTTGTTGGAGAAAAAGATCAATATATTGCTTATGTAGCTTACCCTTTAGACCTTTTTGAAGAAGGTTCCGTTACCAATATGCTTACTTCCATTGTAGGTAACGTATTTGGGTTCAAAGCCCTGCGCGCTCTACGTCTGGAAGATCTGCGAATCCCTGTTGCTTATGTTAAAACTTTCCAAGGTCCGCCTCATGGGATCCAAGTTGAAAGAGATAAATTGAACAAGTATGGTCGTCCCCTGTTGGGATGTACTATTAAACCTAAATTGGGGTTATCTGCAAAAAACTACGGTAGAGCTGTTTATGAATGTCTTCGCGGTGGACTTGATTTTACCAAAGATGATGAGAACGTGAACTCACAACCATTTATGCGTTGGAGAGATCGTTTCTTATTTTGTGCCGAAGCACTTTTTAAAGCACAGGCTGAAACAGGTGAAATCAAAGGGCATTACTTGAATGCTACTGCAGGTACATGCGAAGAAATGATGAAAAGAGCTGTATTTGCTAGAGAATTGGGCACTCCGATCGTAATGCATGACTACTTAACGGGGGGATTCACCGCAAATACTACCTTGGCTCATTATTGCCGAGATAATGGTCTACTTCTTCACATCCACCGTGCAATGCATGCGGTTATTGATAGACAGAAGAATCATGGTATGCACTTCCGGGTATTAGCAAAAGCGTTACGTATGTCTGGTGGAGATCATATTCACTCTGGTACCGTAGTAGGTAAACTTGAAGGTGAAAGAGACATAACTTTGGGCTTTGTTGATTTACTGCGTGATGATTTTATTGAACAAGATAGAAGTCGCGGTATTTATTTCACTCAAGATTGGGTCTCTTTACCAGGTGTTCTACCTGTGGCTTCAGGAGGTATTCACGTTTGGCATATGCCTGCTCTGACCGAGATCTTTGGGGATGATTCCGTACTACAGTTCGGTGGAGGAACTTTAGGACATCCTTGGGGTAATGCGCCAGGTGCCGTAGCTAATCGAGTAGCTCTAGAAGCATGTGTAAAAGCTCGTAATGAAGGACGTGATCTTGCTCGGGAAGGTAATGAGATTATTCGCGAGGCTGCCAAATGGAGCCCGGAACTAGCTGCTGCTTGTGAGGTATGGAAAGAGATCGTATTTAATTTTGCAGCAATGGACGTTTTGGATAAGTAAAAACAGTAGACATTAGCAGATAAATTAGCAGGAAATAAAGAAGGATAAGGAGAAAGAACTCAAGTAATTATCCTTCGTTCTCTTAATTGAATTACATTACAATTAAACTCGGCCCAATCTTTTACTAAAAGGATTGAGCCGAATACAACTAAGATTCTATTGCATATATTTTGATCAAGATTTGAAATACAAAATCTAGAAAACTAAATCAAAATCTAAGACTCAAATCTTTCTATTGTTGTCTTGGATCCACAATTAATCCTACGGATCCTTAGGATTGGTATATTCTTTTCTATCCTGTAGTTTGTAGTTTCCCTGAATCAAGCCAAGTATTACAACTCTTTCTACCCAGCCTGTATATTGTCCCCTTTGTTCCGTGTTGAAATAGAACCTTAATTTATTACTTATTATTAGATTTTAGATTGTTAGATTAGTTAGTGATTAGATATTAGTATTAGACGAGATTTTACGAATTTTTTTTTATTTCTTTATAGGAGAGGACAAATCTCTTTTTTTCGATGCGAATTTGACACGACATAGGAGAAGCCGCCCTTTATCAAAAATTCTATTATTTTTAATAATAAAAGGGGGTTCCAACATATTAATATATAGTGAAGTGTTCCCCCAGATTCAGAACTTTTTTTGAATACTCACAATCCGTATTAGTTAATAATCCTAGTGATTGGATTTCTATGCTTAGTCTGATAGGAAATAAGATATTCAAATAAATAATTTTATAGCGAATGACTATTCATCTATTGTATTTTCATGCAAATAGGGGGCAAGAAAACTCTATGGAAAGATGGTGGTTTAATTCGATGTTGTTTAAGAAGGAGTTCGAACGCAGGTGTGGGCTAAATAAATCAATGGGCAGTCTTGGTCCTATTGAAAATACCAGTGAAGATCCAAATCGAAAAATGAAAAACATTCATAGTTGCAGTAATGTTGATTATTTATTCGGCGTTAAAGACATTTGGAATTTCATCTCTGATGACACTTTTTTAGTTAGTGATAGGAATGGAGACAGTTATTCCATCTATTTTGATATTGAAAATCAGATTTTTGAGGTTGACAACGATCATTCTTTTCTGAGTGAACTAGAAAGTTCTTTTTCTAGTTATCGAAACTCGAGTTATCTGAATAATGGATTTAGGGGCGAAGATCCCTACTATAATTCTTACATGTCTTACATGTATGATACTCAATATAGTTGGAATAATCACATTAATAGTTGCATTGATAATTATCTTCAGTCTCAAATCTGTATAGATACTTCCATTATAAGTGGTAGTGAGAGTTACGGTGACAGTTACATTTATAGGGCCATTTGTAGTGGTGAAAGTCTAAATAGTAGTGAAAACGAGGGTTCCAGTAGACGAACTCGCACAAAGGGCAGTGATTTAACTATAAGAGAAAGTTCTAATGATCTCGAGGTAACTCAAAAATACAAGCATTTGTGGGTTCAATGCGAAAATTGTTATGGATTAAATTATAAGAAATTTTTGAAATCAAAAATGAATATTTGTGAACAATGTGGATATCATTTGAAAATGAGTAGTTCGGATAGAATTGAACTTTTGATCGATCCGGGTACTTGGGATCCTATGGATGAAGACATGGTCTCGCTGGATCCCATTGAATTTCATTCGGAGGAGGAGCCTTATAAAGATCGTATTGATTCTTATCAAAGAAAGACAGGATTAACCGAGGCTGTTCAAACAGGCATAGGCCAACTAAACGGCATTCCCGTAGCAATTGGGGTTATGGATTTTCAGTTTATGGGGGGTAGTATGGGATCCGTAGTCGGAGAGAAAATCACCCGTTTGATTGAACACGCTGCCAATCAAAATTTACCTCTTATTATAGTGTGTGCTTCTGGGGGGGCGCGCATGCAGGAAGGAAGTTTGAGCTTGATGCAAATGGCTAAAATATCGTCTGCTTTATATGATTATCAATTAAATAAAAAATTATTTTATGTATCAATCCTTACATCTCCGACAACTGGTGGAGTGACAGCTAGTTTTGGTATGTTGGGGGATATCATTATTGCCGAACCCAATGCCTACATTGCATTTGCAGGTAAAAGAGTAATTGAACAAACATTGAATAAAACAGTACCCGAAGGTTCACAAGCAGCTGAATACTTATTCCAGAAGGGTTTATTCGACCTAATTGTACCACGTAATCTTTTAAAAAGCGTTCTGAGTGAGTTATTTAAGCTCCACGCCTTTTTTCCTTTGAATCAAAAGTCAAGCAAAATCAAGTAGAGCACTAAGTTCAATTATTTTTTTTGTGTTTGTAGCAAAAAGTAGTTAGTTTATCGGAATCAAAGTAAATAAGATAATAATGGCCTTTTCTTTGGTGATAGAAGATCGAATTGTAGAAAGAATCAAAACGAAAGTTGAGGATAACTCTTTTTTTGACCTATATTCCTGATTACGAATCAAGAAACCTTTATCACTTTATCACCAAGAGTGAGTTCTTCCGTTCGTGAAATTAGTAAAATAAAACGAATTTGGTCTTGTCTTAGGTATATAATTTGAAATTTCAATATAGATAATAGAGTTTTGTATCTTTCTCTATCTACCGAAAAACCATTTTAGCTAAAAATCCATGTTGGGTCGGATTCGAACGAATCCTTCGATAATCGGTAAAAAACTCTTTATCTATTTTTAGAAAATTAGAAGACAAGAACAAAAGACAAAGAAATGAAGAAAAATAATAAAGTTTATTATCATTATCATACATATCTTTCTCATGGAGGAGATGAATAAGTCCATTTATTTAGTTCTACAGTTCTACATTCTTTGCACTTATTCTTATTATACGTACTCAGTTAGATTTAGATATATCGATACTTCGATCTATACTAAGAATTTTAAATTCTTCAAATTCTATTAATAATAAATATTATCTAATTAGAATTCAAATTCTTAATTTAATTATAATTATTACAAGATATCTTTATTTATATAATAACATAATAACAGATACAAATAGTAAATCGAGGTACCCCTTCTATGACAAATTTGAACCTTCCATCTATTTTTGTGCCGTTAGTAGGCCTAGTCTTTCCGGCAATTGCAATGGCTTCTTTATTTCTTCATGTTCAAAAAAACAAGATTGTTTAGATCCGCTGGGACCCAATCTCATCCATTTTTTTTTTGAAAACGTGGACTTGTATCATAACACGGATATCTATTTATTGGAATATAGTATAACATGTGATTTCCACCGAACATAAAGGAAAAAACTCTTATGCCCGCAGAAACATGATATATGGATATATCAATTCTAGCAATTTTCAAATAGATCAGGATCTCTGGATGGCTGAAATGTAGTCGGTGAATCTATATGTATATCGATATGTATAGTGGGATCGTATTAAATAAAGAGTATGTTATTATTTTAGATTTAACCAATTTGATGAATTACTCCTAAAGGTTGACATCAAACTAGTGCTAGTTCACCTCAAACTAGTGCTAGTTGATGAGAGTTACTTCGGAAACAAAAAAGTAAAGTCAAATTTCTCTGGGGTATTATCTCAATTCCAATAAAATGCAATCGAGTAAAGTATGACTTGGCGATCAGACGATATATGGATAGAACTTATAACGGGGTCTCGAAAAATAAGTAATTTCTGCTGGGCCTTGATCCTTTTTTTAGGTTCATTAGGCTTCTTATTAGTTGGAACTTCCAGTTATCTTGGTAGAAATTTGCTATCTTTTTTTCCGCCTCAGCAAATCATTTTTTTTCCACAAGGAATCGTGATGTCTTTCTACGGAATTGCGGGTCTCTTTATTAGCTCTTATTTGTGGTGCACAATTTCCTGGAATGTAGGTAGTGGTTATGATCGATTCGATAGAAAGGAAGGAATAGTCTGTATTTTTCGTTGGGGATTTCCGGGAAAAAATCGTCGCATATTCCTCCGATTCCTTATAAAAGATATTCAGTCCGTTAGAATAGAAGTTAAAGAGGGTATTTATGCTCGTCGTGTTCTTTATATGGACATCCGAGGCCAGGGGTCCATTCCCTTGACCCGTACTGATGAGAATTTGACTCCACGAGAAATTGAACAAAAGGCTGCTGAATTAGCCTATTTCTTGCGTGTACCAATTGAAGTATTTTGATAAATTGAGAATCAGAACGTTCATTCAATTAAAGAAAACGTATATGAAAGAACCATAAAACGAAACTCTTTTTATGGTCTTTATGCGTTTTATGGTCTTTATGCGCACGCAATTCAATAACAAATAACAAATCGAAATAATAGATTCATCTCAGACGGCAAACCATTTCGAAAGCAAGAATTTTTTTTAGTTCAATATTTGTTGGAATTGACACTTTAGATCCAGATAGATCGTATCTTGTAAATTTGAAATTCTTTCTTTTGTATTCTTTAATGACCAACAATTGGATTTCTTAATTAAATACTGAGAACTAGCCAATTTATCCCTTGCCAGTCATTTTTTTTTGATCATCCTAATATCTTTCCCTCAATTATTCTATTCCTGACTATGGGTAATCAGTGAAATTTTTTCGAAATATTGGATATTTTGATAGCAAAGGAGTTCTTTCGTCTCAAAATCTGAATAATATTCATTACTTAAAGTGGTTCTTTCGATCATTCATCGAAAGGATACACTTTATTTTTAATTTGACCAATTGAGATATCAGGAAACAATATTCTAAATTTCTTCATTCGAAGTGAATTCTTAGCCTATTTCTGTATTCTTTCTAGATTCAAAGACTAACCACAAAATCACAAAGAAAATAGATTCATAAGTTCGATACCTTGTATAAAACTCATGTGTGTAAGAAATATTCGATCGCATAGAGTGTACGAATGGGTTGATTAACAATTTACAGACGAAAAAATGGCAAAAAAGAAAGCATTCACTCCTCTTTTCTATCTTGCATCTATAGTATTTTTGCCCTGGTGGATTTCTTTCTCAGTTAATAAATGTCTGGAATCTTGGGTTACTAATTGGTGGAATACTGGGCAATCCCAAATTGTCTTGAATAATATTCAAGAAAAGAGTCTTCTAGAAAAATTCAGAGAATTAGAGGAACTCCTCTTCTTGGACGAAATGATCAAGGAATACTCGGAAACACATCTCGAAGAGTTTGGGATAGGAATCCATAAAGAAACGATCCAATTAATCACGATACAAAATGAGAATCGTATGGATACGATTTTGCACTTCTCAACAAATATCATCTGGTTTGGTATTCTAAGCGGGTATTCAATTTTGGGTAAGGAAAAACTTGTTATTCTTAACTCTTGGGCTCAGGAATTCCTATATAACTTAAGTGACACAGCAAAAGCTTTGTGTCTTCTTCTAGTAACTGAGTTTTTTCTCGGATATCATTCACCCCCAGGTTGGGAATTCGCTATACGCTCTATCTATAACGAGGTTGGAGTTGTTGCGAATGAGCAAACTATAACTATTCTTGTTTGCATCCTTCCAGTAATTTTTGATACATGTTTTAAATATTGGCTTTTCCGTTATTTAACTAGTCTGTCTCCGTCAATTTTACTGATTTATGATTCAATAACTGAATGATAAAGGATCCATTGATATTAATCTAATCCAATTAGAATGCTTGGTACTTTGTAGTTGTACATAAGCAAAGTATTGAAAATCATATTTACTCTTCCTATTTCTAACCATCGGGAAGATTCATCCTAGATTATTCCAGCAAATAGCAGAATCGTGGCTAGGGAACTATACTAGCGACCTACCCAATTTATTGTAGAAATTTTCGCGATCAATGATTGGACCATGCAAACTAGAAATGCTTTTTCTTGGCTAAAGAAACAGATTACTCGATCTATTTCCGTATCGCTCATGATATATATCTTAACTCGGACGTCCATTTCAAGTGCATATCCCATTTTTGCACAGCAGGGTTATGAAAATCCACGAGAAGCGACTGGGCGTATTGTATGTGCCAATTGCCATTTAGCTAATAAGCCCGTGGAAATTGAGGTTCCACAAGCGGTACTTCCTGATACTGTATTTGAAGCAGTTGTTCGAATTCCTTATGATATGCAACTGAAACAGGTTCTTGCTAATGGTAAAAAAGGGGGGTTGAACGTCGGGGCTGTTCTTATTTTACCGGAGGGGTTTGAATTAGCCCCTCCCGATCGTATTTCTCCTGAGATGAAAGAAAAGATTGGCAATTTGTCTTTTCAGAGCTATCGCCCCAATAAAACAAATATTCTTGTGGTAGGCCCTGTCCCTGGTAAAAAATATAGTGAAATAACCTTCCCTATTCTTTCCCCGGACCCTGCTACTAAGAAGGATGTTCACTTCTTAAAATATCCTATATACGTAGGCGGGAACAGGGGAAGGGGTCAGATTTATCCCGACGGCAACAAGAGTAACAATACAGTTTATAATGCTACAGCAGCAGGTATAGTAAGCAAAATCATACGAAAAGAAAAAGGGGGGTATGAGATAACCATAACGGATGCGTCAGAGGGACGTCAAGTGGTTGATATTATCCCTCCCGGACCAGAACTTCTTGTTTCCGAGGGCGAATCTATCAAATTTGATCAACCATTAACGAGTAATCCTAATGTAGGCGGATTTGGTCAGGGAGATGCAGAAATAGTACTTCAAGATCCATTACGTGTCCAAGGACTTTTGTTCTTCTTGGCATCTGTTATTTTGGCACAAATCTTTTTGGTTCTTAAAAAGAAACAGTTCGAGAAGGTTCAATTGGCCGAAATGAATTTCTAGATTCGCAGATTTATCGATATCAAGTACGTAAAAAGAACCAAATTCTTGTTGGCGATTATTTATGATCAAAAAAATGAAATTATGAAAACTCCTTTGTCTTATTTATACTCTTCTTCAAAATCTACATTACATACTCTTTTTCTACGAGATGCTGGGAATCCCTTGTACCACATAGTATGTAGATTTTGAAGAAGAGTATTTGGCTTTCATTTATTTTGATTTAGTTTTTTTTAATTGGAGTAGTGTAACTATGTTACTATTGCCAGATTTCACTGCCATAAAACGTATCAATAGTTTTCTATTCTAAATAGAAAGAAAGTCAAATTTGTCTAAATACTAGACATAAGGAAGCGGGGGATAAATGCGGGGAAGAAAAAATTCTAGCAGGGATTATTTGTCTTCCTAGTCTTCGACACAAGAAAGGGGTGTAGAAAAATCCTTTTTTCTTGTGTCGAAACGAAAGAGTAATGATTCTTGATCCTGTTTGTTAAAAATTCCTAGTCTTGGTTTCAATTTTTCCAGATGTATCAGAAACCCTACACCTACCCCCTTACATATAATATATGAATTGGTGGACAAACAA